CACATCACACACTCAACTACTCACCCTCCTCACAGACTCCACACCCTCCCACACCACACCCCACACATCCACTACACCACACACACCCAGACTCACCACCACACCCACTCCACACCTTCCCACACCACCCCACTCATCCACTAACCCCCACAAACCCACACACACAACCACACACCCTCCACACATCCCACTACACCCCCACTAACCCTCACACACCAACCAACCCACACACCCTCCACACATCCACTACACCCCTACCACACAGCTTTCAGTACCATTCTCAAACTGTGGTATTGGTAAAGAGTTATTTGCTGTATTTTAAGCACAACAAGGAATTCCTTTGAGAAATGACAGCCATTGAACAGGTGTCGTAACTCTAGCGATAACATGAATAGTAATACCATCGGATCTCTGTAGCAGTGGGTGACGACCACAGCAAATATAATAGCCAACGAGGGTCGATAAGCACAGTGCCAAGTGCCAACGTGGCCCTTACTTTGCTTCGCGAACGATTACGGTTTAATTCATCTTACCCAAAACTCCTCAATAAATTCTGTGTCAATAAGCATTTTTTTTCTTCTTTTCTCTCTTTCTCCGTCTTCTTCTTTGGAGTGTATTTCAGGCTTGAGTGATCCAGTTACGAGGCTGAGGAGCTATTGTTTGGGGGGGAAGGGGAGTATTGTTGCGGGGAGGGGGCTTAGATCGAAGTGCTGGATGGGTTTTCGAAAAAAAAGGAGTGAGAATTAGATTGGGCGAACTGGGGTGGTGAAATATGTCACACACACACCACAACACACACACACACACACACCACACACACACCACACCTCACACACCACCACACACACACACACACACACACCCACACACACACACCCAAACAGTCAAATCACCCTCGGTTGCTTGATTCCATTCGTACTATAGTTGCATTAGTTGTATTTGTTATATTTTAAGACTTGGATGACTTCTTTCTTGACTTCTTTATAGTGAATTTCTATGTTTCTGAGTCTCTTTGCTTAGCGAATTTTTTAAAAGATCCTTCGTGCTGCGGTAAAAACTGTTTAGATCCTTATTTTTTTAAAAAATATCAGCAATATTCGAACATTGGCTTGTGTTGCCCCTGATGTTGCAGCTTGGAGCAGAGTATGTTCAAGCTAGTAATAATAGTAATAATAATAATAATATTATTAATAATTTGCACTACTTACTACTAATATCTACTCTAATAATAATAATAATAATTGTAATAAATAATAATAATAATAATAATAATAATAATAAATAATCTAATGTAATTAATAATTCACTACTACTACTACTACTACTACTTAATAATAATAAAATAATAATAATAATAAATAATAATAATATAATAATAATAATAATAGTATTAATAATTACACTACTACTACACTACTACTACTACAACTACTACTTAACTACTACTACTACTATACTAATAATAATAATAATAATATTAATAATAGTATAATAATAATAGTTAATAATAATAATAGTAATAATAGTATTAATAATTACACTACTACTACTATTATTAACTACTATACTACTAATACTACTACTACTACTATACTAATACTACTACTATACTACTACTATAATAATAATAATAATATAATAATAATAATAATATAGTATTAATAATTACACTTACTACTACTACTACTACTAATAATAATAATATAACATTAATGATATAATAATATATTTATTTCTACAAGTTTTGTGATACGGACTAGGATCATAGTTGACATCTATTGATACACTATATAGAAAGCCCCTTGTTATGCACAGCATTTCGGGCAAATTAGGTCAATTTTGCCTCAAGGATGCAGCCCATGCAGTCGACTAACACCCAGGTACCTACTTACTGTTAAGTGGAGAGGGCTATCACAATCATCCCGAGATAGTAGTAAACTAGCCCTATCTAGCATAATGTATAGACCACTTACAGCAAGTTCTAGTACAGTGATAAAGGTTTATAAAACATGGCGTCCCTCAGGGTAAATGTTTAAGTCCCGTTAATTGCTTTACAGGTGCTGAGATATCCTCCGGTTTGTTTTACCTCTGAGAAAATAGGCAGAACGGAGATCGAAGCCTTTCACCACGTATTGCGCCTGATCTATGGGTTTAGCTCTTATAATGAAATTAAATCAGTGTTTAATAACAGTGAAGAAAACAAGTGGGCAAAAAAACTGAGACACAAGTAAAAATCTGTATCATTTCGATTTCAGTAAATATATATATATATTATATATATATATATATTTTTATATATATATATATATATATACTATATAATTTTATATATATATATATATCTATATATAATTTTTAAAGGCTTCTGCGGAGATGCGAATTATAAATTACAAGGAATTGGTTTATTGTATCCAGTGAACGTAAAACGCTTCGGGATTTATTGGGATGCCGACAGAGGCGGTACTGTAGGATGGTGGTGTCGGGGTGATTGTGGCGGTGGTAATGGTGGTGGCGATGGCCGGTTGATGGTGTGTGAAGTTACAGGAGACTGGTTTAGTGGTGGTTTTGGTAGCCGGGTCCTGGCTCGTCACCCCACCTGCTGCCAGCAACAAACGGACGGAGGGTCTATCTGAGTTCAACTGCTTCTGGATGGCTGTCAGCGGTGACAGAGAAGGAGAAACATCAGCGCAGTACCTTTGACAACTAGTACTTGTAATACTATTACTGCTATTAAATAGTACTAACTGCTATTACTACTGCTACCACCACACACAAGAAGTGGAAATAGTCTGGAGAGTGATGTAGTGGTGGCGGAACCATACTGCTTTAAGAAAGATATCATGCATAAGATCATGGGAGCAGGGAGAGAGTAGACCTAGTGGCTTCCAGTGAAGAGCGGGGCCAGGAGTATGACCCGACACCTGCAATCACAATTAGGTGAGTACACACACATAAACACACCCCACATACATTTTATATCCACTAATCGAATACCTTCGTGTAACACAACAAACCTTTACATGTCCTGCTACCGTCATCAAATAATAAATTACGCTATCATTCTGAACAGGAATATAAAAATACGATCAAGGAAGTATTAAACAGGTACCTTACATACACAATGAAGCTGAACCCACCTCAAGGGACTCAGGCGCTGCCCGCCAAATCGTAAGTAGGATTCCAGCGCTTACATATGGGTTCCCATGCGGGCTCAGATATTGCCCCGAAATTTAAACGAGCAGTGCCAAAAGGTGGCAAATGTACAGCGAACCTTTACTGCTCGTACAATTCGGGTCAAATTATCTGCAGGAACGCCGTTACCCAGTTCTGGTTGAACCGTTCTTTGAGCTCATTTCAGAGGTATTATTTATACATTCTATCCTTCTCCAGGATCTCCAATTAGAACTGTCTGGTTAGCGCACAGGTGTCTAATTAAATAATGGGCGAAGCACTGGCAGCAGTACAAGTGGTTGTACGTCTCGCCCGCCAGAGGATTGAACCGGGTCCATCGTTGTGAGACGAGGTGCTATCACAGAGTTATTTGTTAGTGAATAATTCCACATTGGTTTAACTCTTCGTTTTTATAATAATAAAAAACTACTACTACTACTACTACTACTACTCTCTACTAATACTACTACTTTCTACTACTACTACTACTATACGACTATACTACTTACAACTAATAAAAAAAATAATAATAATAATAAACAATAATCGCTACTATCTAACACGCTCACGCATGCTTGCTGGAAGTCCAAGCCCCTCGCAAACAAAAACTCTTTACCCTCTCCCTCCAACCTTTCCTAGGCCGTCCTCGACCTCCACCTTCCCTTCCACTACAGATTTATACACTCTCGAAGTCATCTGTATTTTGTTCCATCCCTCTACATGTCCGATATCACCTCAAACCAACCCCTTCGGACCATGTAGGAGGATGGAACAAATTAGAATGACTCGAGAGTTGTATAAATCTCTAGCTGGAGTGAGGCGGGTAGAGGTCAGCTAGGAAAGGTTGGAGGGAGGGGTAAGGGGTTTTGTGTGCGAGGGGCTTGGACTTCCCGCATCATGACCTTGAGGCGTGTTAGGAGGCAAATGGCGACAAATGGCAATTTTTAGGATGGACGTGCTGTTGGAGTGTAAGCAACGGTAACATTTATGATGGGTTTCAGGGGAAAACAGTCGAGGCTGGACTTGAGTCGAGATGGGAAGTACCAGTGTCTGCACCACTCTGAAGGACTGGTGTTATGTTGCAGTTTTATACTGTAGTTGTTAAAGCACCCTTCATGGCAAAAGACTGTGATGGATGGAATGATGAATGAAAGATTTTCTTTTTCGGGCCCCACCCTGCCTTGGTGGGAGGCGGCTGATGTGTATAACAATTAAAAAAATAATAATATGATAATAATAAATTAAATAATAATAATAATTAATAATAATAATAATAATAATAAATAATAATAATAATTATAATAATGAGAATATCATTAATAATAACAATACTGCTACTACTAGTATTACTACTGCAAATTCCACTACTACAACAACTTCTGTTACTACTTCTCCTACTAATAATAACAATAACGTTTTTCATAATAACATCTGATAAGAGGTTTAACGGAGCCAAGTGTTTATAATGGAGTAGTGGTGGGTTAATGTAGTATCAACACCACTAAAGCTTAACCATTAACACAACAATAACGTCTCACAGCCCTTGATAATAAACTGAAGGCGCTTACTTGCAATAAAAAGTACAATTTGCACTGTTAAATATTGCATAAGTAATCAAGGGTAATGAGAGTTTGCGTGCGTGCTTGATGACATACGACACTATAAATGATTTATTCCTCTTTAAAGCTTATATTGGAAAACAGATTGACTAGCCAACTTAGTGAAATATTCACAAAACACTTCGATATTCACTTATATATTCCCACATAATCCTTAAAATCTAGCTTTATGAGGTTACGGGGTAAATCGCACTGTGTGTCAGTTGTGTGTGTGTGTGTGTGTGTGCACTCGCCGATTTTCCTCCATGGGGGGTCGAGGCCTGGCTCCGGGTCGTAAGCTTCTTCAACAGGTTTCAAGACAATATACAACTTTCAACAAACTCTTATATTCTACTGGTGATGCCTTTCACGACTTTTATATTCACTAAATACACTAACCCAGAAATACTCATAGAACTCAGAGTTACAACGCATACACATATACACAAACAAGAAGAAGCGGGGCCAGGAGCTTCGACTCGACCCCTGCAACCATACCTTCCACAGCTCGGGCTCAAACTTTTTCACAATTTCATTTCTGAAGACATTTGGCAAAATGTTGACTGCTGCCTCAACCAGGTAATCTAAGGAGCCCATACCAGTGGTGCGCACTGCCATGTTACCTGTGTAGCGGGAAATCCTCATTGAATGGGGCACTGAAGGAATATAAACAAGTCACTCGTGCAGTATTTTTAAGAATTCATGAAAGAAAAATATAATTGAGGAGGGATGGAATTAAGATGACGTGAATGACGAGTAAGGAGAAGAGAATTAAAACGAGGAAGAAGAACAATCAGAGAAGCAGACTATTCAATGTTAGAGTCAAAGGTTTGGTAATCTGTACGAAAGTAGAGATTATGTACCGTCTCGGTGTATTTACTCTGATAGATACACTCTTACGACGTTTAAACCATGCTACGTTCTTCCTAACATATTCTAGTCCCCATAGAACAGTATGTTACCTTATCTTGAAATGTAAACAACGACTTCCTTCATCTTTTACAAACAATAGTCAGCTTCTATTTCAAAATAAAAATATTAATGCTTACAATAAAAGTCAATAATCAAACTATCCGACAATCTTCTTCGGATATTTTACAATATTACTCTGTTAATATATGCATTTCATTGACTTCTTCTACTAATCCGAATGTAAATAAAAAGTTCCCTCTTAACGTGGTATTATACCACACTAAATTATGATTAAAAACGTACTGTAATCTACATTACAATAGCAGCTATCATCACCATCACATTAACCAGGTGCCACCCCACTAACTACCACCACACCACTTACTACCTACAACCACACCACCACCACAACACCTCATTTCACCTACCAATTTGGCAGTCGAGAGTCCTGAGTACTGCTGGGCTCTTCATGTCAACCTTCTGCTGGACTTCGAAGGTGGCGCTGAAGGTGTCGATCGTAGCCTCTAGGTGACCGCCGGTCCCCAAAAGGTATGGCACCCACCACTCCCCAGTCACCTTCACCTGCTGTGCCCCTACCTGTCCACAACAGTTCACCCTAGTAATCCTGGAAGTCAGTTGTCTTTAGATGGGTTTGTCTTAGCCTCCACTAGGGGGAGGGGAACACGTTAAGAATACAGTGGACCCCCGCTTAACGATCACCTCCAAATGCGACCAATTATGTAAGTGTATTTATGTAAGTGCGTTTGTACGTGTATGTTTGGGGGTCTGAAATGGACTAATCTACTTCACAATATTCCTTATGGGAAAAAATTCGGTCAGTACTGGCACCTGAACATACTACTGGAATGAAAAAAGTTCGTTAACCGGGGGTCCACTGTATTAAGGTTTGATGTAATTAAATGAGTTTCCTTCGTAGTTTTTAAATCGATATTTTTTGGCACATGCAGTATGTACCGTAAAGGGTGCAAAGAAACTTTATTAGACGGCGTTTCGCACAAGTTTGAGCTTACTTGTCTGTCGGCTTTTTGTTACCCCCCCCACTTGGGAACAGATTACTGTATGTGGAGTTACATCATAAAAACTATCATTCTTCATTCCTATTTCGTATTCTTTCTATTTTTTACAGTTCTTCCGCTTGAAGGTAAAATTGTAACTTTCTAACCATACCCAACAGTTCATTGAACAAAAAATCAAAGTGACAGCATTCGAGATTTGGGCACAGGGAAAAAGATAAGTCCGAAACCGAAAGTCTGAGATAAATCCTTAAAGTAACACTCTAATGGCTATTTTACAATCTAGACGTTCACATTTTTCCTGGTACCTTCTAGCTGTTATGTCACCAAAACTGAATGGCGATAGACAGGTTTCCTCCCCGGCCTGATAGTCACGTACTCATTAAGCTCAGGAAAGGTAAGAAGCTACTTTACACCGGCTTCCTATTGGACGTAGGAACCTTCACATCTATCTGATCTGTCACGTACAGTTATCTTTTTTTCTTTCTCTGGTTCTCACGTGTGCGAAAGACGATGAAGGTGTGATCCATAAACCTTATCGAAGATGTCTTTGTTTCTATGAAGATAAAGGATCGACCAATCACGTACGGTGTTGTCCATCTAGGGAAGAAAATAATATATATATATATATATATAGATATATATATATATATATATATTATATATATAGATATATATTATATATACTATATATAATATATATATATAGGATAAAATAGCATTGAACAATAATAATATAATATTTTATAAACTTTATTATTATTACCATTTACAGTAAACTGCAAAACTCGGAGAGGTACTTCAGCAATGAACTTGGATTACACACATCGTGAGATGTGCTCCTGGATACAGTAAAGGAGATCTTACCTTGAAGGTGAAGCCATACCCCATGTACAGTTGCCATCTTGACCACACGCCAGGGCTCCATGCCCGTGGTACGCAGATAAACCACCGAAGCTTAACAAGGAGGAGAAAGCGGTGGTAGAAGCCGGAAGTAAAGACTCACTTAGAGCAAAGAAACCTTTTTGGTTTTTTAAGGTTTTCGGGCACTAGGCTTTATCTATAGGTTTCATCCACTGGAGGTTTTATTTAAGATTTTTTAACCCATTTGGGGTTTATTAAATACATGAAATAAGTCTCCAGAGAATGAAGTCTTGTGCAAATATTAGTTTTCCACTCTATACATATATCTTAATCTCCTCTTGAATACCTAAAGTTCCGCTTCCACGAAATATTTTCACTTTATATTTCCACGTTACACATAGAAATGGGAGAAGGGTGTCAGTCTTTACCTTGGTCATCAGGTAATCGAAAGGTGAGGTGGAGTCAGGAAAGTACCAGCCGTCAGCCAACTTCTGAAGCTCTGGGTTGAGTTCCTCAACCAGCCACTCCTTGACCTGCAGGTGCACAAGCACATCCTCATGCAAAACCCACACCACACACACACACACGACTCATAAATGATATGAGGAAATGCTTTGTGGATTTTATGATTCTAGATAAGGAAAAACAGATAGGAGAACTTACCAGTTTAACAAGGCTTGGGAGGAAGACTGGGAGGCGCAGTGTTGACACCCAGGTGATACGTGGATGACAGGTTCTCAAAGCTGACCTCCGTTCTGTTGTAGGTCATCTCCAGCTGAGGGAAAATCAGAGGTTCGGCTACAGAGGTCAGTGCAGTGGTTGATCGGAGCTCAATAAGGAGCAGAGGTTACTTACAGAAACTATTTTCCACATTTTTGTTTATATCAGGTTATGCAGACGTACATAAACGTGTGTTTAACAATAAATTAATAAAAATCCCAGGAAACGTTCAAATTTAGGCGTATTTCTCTCGTGGTGTGACACTACCAGAGGGTGTTTGGTTAATAGCCCTAAATCTCTTTCGGCACAAATGGTGGGATGTTTTCCCTTTTCTTCTAAATTTATTAATATCATGACTAGAACGATTATATAACGTAATGACCAGAATATGATTTAGAAAAAAAAACATTAGCTTGCTTTGTGATGACATCGGAAATATGGCAGTTAACTGGTGAAGATAAAGTTAATGAGTCTAGGGACAACAGCAGATCTCCCGACAGTGACAAACTTCTCTTCAAAGTGTATAGAAAACCTACCAACAAGGACGATCTTATATACTTTTATTCACACCCAGACACCCGCACTAAGAGAGGAGTCCTCATTGGCTTCTTCTTGAGAGCTCTTCGCATCTCCAGCCCTTGTTTTCTAGAAGAATGCACTTACATAACACAAGCCTTTACACGTCTTCAGTTTCCATCTTTCTTCATCCGAGATTGCAGACTCAAGGCACAAGCTATCCTCAACAAACCGCCCATGGAACAGCCCCCTAAGCAGTTCATAGTACTCCCATGTGGCGATGTGCACCGAATACTCGCGTTTTGCACTTGTATGAGTAAAAATCAACGGTTTCCACCATAAACACATCATCTATCAAAGACCTCCACTACGAAATCAGCCCTCACCTCTAACTTCTACAGCAGGCGTCTATCTACACTTTCCTGTGGTTTTGTCACAAGAATATGTAGCGAGACAGGCAGATAACCTTGCAGTCCGCTGATGAGCATCGAAAGGCCTCTATCTCAGAGACGATGTAAGGTACGCCTGGTGTCTCCACCAGAGACTCCGGCGGCATTTGATGAAATGGATGAGGCACAACTCGTTCTCACGAACCAGACCTCAGGAACGCCGACGGTGCCTAGAAAAGCCTCACTAATCGCCATCACCGACACTATAGAACGCAACACCGTGAAACCTACAAAATTTAAAACATGGCATACATGATACTTATGCAAACACCAAAACCAAACAAACACAGGAGTACATGATTTCATCGTCTACCGTCTCATCACAACATGACATTCCCTCAGGTCACTGTGGTCCACTCACACTCACTTTTTCCGCCTATACTATTTATATAATGTCTTTCTACCTCTGTATGTTAGAAGTGATCAAGGTCCCAGGACCGAAACGTTTTCTAATAAATATGTCATAGTGTTTGCTTACGTGTCTTTCTAAAACAACAACACTGTACAGGTGCAGCCACGTGTTTAAATGAGTATAGGGTCAACAACATGTGCAGGTGCAAGCCAGTGTTAATGAGTTCTAGGGACAACAACATGTACAGGGTTGAAGCCAGTGTTAAATGAGTCTAGGGACAACAACACTGTACAGGTGCAGCCAGTGTTAATGAGTCTAGGGACAACAACACTGTACAGGTGCAGCCAGTGTTAATGAGTCTAGGGACAACAACACTGTACAGGTGCAGCCAGTGTTAATGAGTCTAGGGACAACAGCACTGTACAGGTGCAGCCAGTGTTAATGAGTCTAGGGACAACAACACTGTACAGGTGCAGCCAGTGTTAATGAGTCTAGGGACAACAGCACTGTACAGGTGCAGCCAGTGTTAATGAGTCTAGGGACAACAACACTGTACAGGTGTAGCCAGATGTTAATGAGTTAGGGACACAACACTGTACAGGGTAGCCAGTGTTAATGAGTCTAGGGACAACAACACTGTGCAGGTGCAGCCAGTGTTAATGAGTCTCCTCCTGGTCCAGTATTTTTGTTCTCTGCGTAATTAGTCTTTTCCTCTTTGGCTCGGTAATTTGAGTTTGCCACTCTGCTTTTTTCGACCTTCCTCTTTGTCTGCTTGTTTTTCTGCTTATCTCTCTGCCTCTCTGTCTCTGTCTCTCTTTGCTCCTTTCGTTTCTGCCTCCCTCCCTCCATTCCCTCTTTCTCTCTGGGGTAAATAAACCATCCAGTTTACCTAAGCTGGGCTAAATTATACACTATAATATACACATAATAAAATCACTACACACAACTAATTTATCCAGTTTTGTAAATGAGTAGAAAACTTACTTCGGTGCTCCCGGCGACTAGAGTAAGTCGTCCGTCGGCGTCAGGAACGACGACTGATCGGAATGACAGGCGGATGTCGTGTAGAGTAATGTTGGTTGCACCTGCCCGTCGTTACTCCAGAACATAGTGTCCCTCCCACAGGTTACTGTCCAGGAAGCCCACAAGACTGGACTGCCTTGCGTCCCACCTCTGGACCTGGGGAATTAGACTACTGGTCATCTTTATTGCCTTATTTCTGGTGTGGTAATATGATATTACGCTGAAACTGTTTGAGACACCGCAGAGGACGATAATATGAGATACAACAGGTCATGTTGACAGAGTGGGAGGAAAACAGTTGAATATACCGTTGGTTTCTTTTCTGGGTACGTTATGGGAATGAAGCTATACGATACGTGACGATATGAACGTTTTTGGGTGGCATTAATGGTGATGCCCCGTGTCAGGGTATTTTTTACTAAGCTGCTTCTTTAGAGATTGTAGCTGCTGCGGTTTTGTGACGATCATTCTGGACATTTTTGGTTTACGTAATTAGTGTGTATTGACCTATCTGCTCAGAGATCTCCGGTGTCCAGCTGACAGTAACCTGCTGGAGACGTGTCGTTTGTCTGCAGTCGACGTCAGGTGTTACTTGTCTGAAGTCTGCCTCAGGTGTATGCAGTCTGCATGAGGTGTCATGTGTCTGCAGTATATGTCAGGTGTGCTGTAAAGCAACAGCTGGGAATTTGGATTATTCATTTATGAAGTCCTTTCTCCCTTTGGCCATAAAACCTGGCCTGCATCGCGGATTACACAGGCTGAGATCACATCAGTGTAGTCCATTGGCTCACACTGTTGTTACCTCCTTGTCGTTACCGTCTAGTTACTATCGTTGCTCAAGTTGCTTTTATTTGCCCTCACCTTGGCTAGCGTTTACATAAATATTCACTTTTGTTGAAAGACAAATATTAGCCCTCCTGGTGGTGAAGTGTTGGGGAGAGGTAGGAGGAGGAGGAAGAGGTGCCAAGCGTGGCAATACATAACACATTGCACGCCATTCTTTGTATCCCAAACGCTGCTGGTCAAATATTGCCACATAATTCCTCTTGGTTATTCGTCTGCGCTGCATTGTGGCAACACTCTTGCGTTCCTCGTTGTAAAAGTTAAGTATCTGGTGGTAGCTGTGCTTCTTATTGCTAAGTCTACGCTAGCCTCCTGCCCGCTTTACCTCTGGCATGCGATGGCCTCAAGGAATACAGGTGTTTGTATACTCGGGATTATTTTTTGGGTTTGGGATGTACTCCAGCTCCTGGGTAGTATCTTACTGTTGTCTTGATGGGTGAGTTACTTCTTAGTCCCTAGGATACTATCACACCAGCTCCTGAGTAGTATCTAACCGTTGTCTTGGAATTAGTTTCTAGCATCCAGCATTCTCTCACGTTATCAACATCCACGAACTCATTAACTTACAGAAAATACTCTTCTCTTCTGCTTCGTAAAATTTATTTCATATAGTCGAAGACACAATTTATTTTGAGGACACACCAACTGTACTTCGAGGCTGCCATCTGCTGGCCATTGAGGTTGTAGTCGATATTACAAATTAATATAATGATAACCTACTAATTACTGAATAACGCTATTCAAAATTTATGGATCTGAATAACCTCAATGATTTGGATTACACAGCATTAAATTCTGAATTCAAACTAGATAGCTAATATAGCTCGGTTACGTATTAGTTTCTGCATTTATATTATCTCTGTCTAGATTGTATGATGGAGGCAGCCGATCTAATTGGAGCTTACCTACCTGGAGTCTACATACCTGGAGTCTACATACCTGGAATCTACCTACCTGGAGTCTACATATCTGGAGTCTACATACCTGGAATCTACCTACCTGGAGTCTACATACCTGGAGTCTACAGACCTGGAGGGTGTTCCGGGTGTCAACGCCCCCGCGGCCTAGTCCTTAACCAGGCCTCTCGCTGGATCAGGGACTGGTCAACCAGGCTGTTACTGCTGGCCGCACGTAGCTGTTAGAAAGTCAGTAATAACTGCTTATCACAAATTAAAACACAATGCAGATAGATCGTTCTTCTTTACATGAACCTCCCCCCCCCCCAGGAGTGCAGCAGAAACCATAACTCAAGACAGACTTTACGGTTATCTTAAACCTATTTCTCCCAATAAATTTAACGTTCAGCTACTGTCTATCATCACAGGTTCCAATACTAAGTCGTATAAAACCCCAGTGTCAAGGATGACTATTTATGCCAGTAGCATCACTCTCTCCACCCATCCCTAACCATCCCATACATGAAATGCAGCATCCAGACATCAAGCCACGGAAAACAAGACTTACTTTGCAGGAGAAGTTGTTCTGTAACTCGAGTCTCAGTTATGACTGGAACTTACCGTGAGGGAGGAGAGGTTGAAGGCGGCTGCTTCAATCTCAAAGTGGGAGAGACCGTGAAGATGCTGGTCCCAGATAGTAAGACCGCTGGTCAGCTGGTAGGACTCTGAGAAGACCATTGGGTCTTCCAACTTCAAAGCTGAGTGAGAAAGGAGAGAGAGAGAGAGAGAGAGAGAGAGAATATTACTTTCAAAACACTAAATCCATTTGGGATAAAAGACGCTTGGGGAATAGTAGGCAGTACTTTATATCTATCAAAATTAGTTGCACCAGCAACTTAATGATACCTTGTTACATATTATAGTCAAATATAGAAATAAATTTTGTAGCTGTGGGTTTAATTATAGCATAGGATCCTCCTCTTGGTAACCCTTTCAGTGGGGTGTGATGTAAGTTCTCTTGATACATGGTGGTGTGTGGTGTGGTGGTGTGTGTGAGTGTGTGTTGTATGTGTTGTGTGAATGTGTTGTGTGGGTGTGTGTTGTGTGTGTGTGTTTGTGTGGTTGTGTGTGTGTGTTTTGGTAGTGTGGGTCACTCCCCCTGAGCCTCTCGGTATTATAAAGAATACTTGAACAGTGAGTAGCCATCTGCTTGGTCAGTGTCCCTTATACCTTCCCTACCCACAGAAAATTGATTTGTAAACATTCTAGATAAATCATAATATACATAATATACATTAAATATCTATCTAGCATCTGTATACATACATATATTATTTATATTAAATAATATATATATATATATATAATATATATATTTTTAATATATTTATAAAATATATAATTATATATAAAAATATATATAAAAATATATATATATATATATTTTAAAATATATATAATATATATATATACATTATTGGTTTCCTTCCATAATAAATCAGTATTACAGGAATAACAAATATTAATAAGAACACACACACAAAGAACATAAAAATAAGAATATATCTGAAATAAAAGGGCAAGTGTGCCAAAATTTCCTCTCATTCTTCTTATTCAAAGGGAAAGAAATTATGGTCAGCAATCCTGCAATAGAAGGAAAACATTGCAGAGGCTTCCGTGTTTCGCCGAGGCAGGACGGCAGAATCTTGCAAAGGGTTGCTGATGCTAGTGCTATCTGCCGTCTTGCAACCTGCAGCGTAAATAATTAAGAAATACTGGAGGGAGTGTCGAGAGTAATGAGAGAATTAATAATTATGTCAAGACGCTACGAAGATTTAAAAAGATTTGCTGCCAGTTTCTTTAAGACAACTTAATGTGTGTGTGAGAAGGAATATTTGACACCTTTTAAGATATTGACAAGTTAATGTGCAATCAAACGTGGAGAGTTAGTTTAGATGCATGAGGATTTAGCATTGAGGATTTAGCATTGAGG